TCTGGGCCGCCACGCCGCCGGCCCATAATCCCGCCCGGCGCGCCCCGGGGCCGCCGCGCGCGCTTCCGGTCGGCTATGAGGATTCTGGGCCGCAGGCCCGCCAGCCCAGAATCGGCGGGACCAATTCTGGGCCGCCGCGCCACCAGCCAAGAATCCCGCCCAGCGCGCCTTGGGCCACTTCTCGCGCCTCCGGGGCTGGCCTACCCGTCTCTGGGCCGCCGCGCCGCCAGCCCTGCAATCCGCCCGGCGAGCCCCGGGGCGGCGCGGGCGCCTCCGGGCCGGCCGCCTAGCCAGATCTGGGCCACGGGCCCGCCGGTCCAGACTCGGCTGGTTTTGCGACCGGCCCATGGTGCGCTTGGAGCCCTTGGAGCCGTTTTGGGGCCGTCTTCGGGCCCTCTCAGGCCGTCTTTGGCTGCCGTTGGTGCTGTCTTCGGTGCTTCTTGGGCCGTGATCTTGGGGCCTCTGGGGCTCGTTTGGAGCCTCTCAGCGCTTCCTGTCGGCCTCCTGGAAGCCTCCTCGGCCTCCTGGAAGCCTCCTGGGGCCGGGTGCCTTTTGGGCCGTGGAGGCCATGTGGAGGCCGTCAGGGGCGCTCTTGAGACTGTCTTGGGTGCCCCGTAGGCCGCCAAGGGCGCCTCAGGAGCCTTGCTGGGGCCGTTTTGAAGCGCTTTGGGGCCGCTTGGAGCCCTTGGGCCGTCTCTCGGGCCGCCATAAGCGCCTCAAGAGCCGTGGTGGGGCCGTTTTGAAGCGTTCTGAGGGCTCTGGGGGCCCTCTTGGGCAGTCTTGGTTGCCTCTCGGGTGGTTGTCTTGGGGCCGTCTGGGCCCGTCTTGGGCACCTCTTGGGCCGTCCTGGGCGCCTCTTGGACTGTTCTTGGGTCGTCTTGGGCCGTCTTGGGGCCCTCATGGGGGCATATTAGGGCGATCTTGAGCCCCTATGGCCGCCGTGGACGCGATGGAAACGAAAGGCACGAAAATAAAGGAATGGGACAATTTTGGCCTCTTGGGGCTCTCCTGGGAGGTCCTCCAGGGCCGTCTTGGGAGCCTCCTGGCCTGCCTCAGGGGCTTCCAGGGCCGTCGAGGCGGCCTCTTGAGCGGCTCGGAGCCGTCTTTGGGCTGTCGGGGCGGCCTCTTGAGCGTCTCGGAGCCGTCTTGGAGCCGTCTGGGGGCTCGCCGGGGCTCGCAGGGGCCGCCAGGGTACCGGCTGCGCTTTCCCCGTGGCCCGCCTTTCCCGCACGCGCGGGCCCCTACTTTGTAGTAGAGACTACGTAGGGCTGGCGGGTGGGATACCGGCTACTGCATCTGCCCGACATCCGCATTGCGGTGACGGGGGCAGCGGCGACGACGGCGACGGCGTCGGCAGCAGCGACGACGGCGGCGGCGGCGACGACGGCGGTGGCGTCACAGCTCGCCGCAGTGACGATGGCGGCCGCGTCGTTGGTCGCGAGGTGGCGCAAGTCGCAGCGCACGCGGTCCAGTTTGGGCGCCGCGCACGCCATGGAGGCGATCCCATTCTGCCCTAGAATCGCCTCTGCAGCTGCTGCATGCAATTGCAGGGTGCTGCCGCCTGCGGCATGTTGTTTGTGCATACTCTTGCTGTGCTACCGTTGCCTGCTGCGAACTGCTGTTGTTCGATGTTGCTGCATGAGGCTGCAGAGTGCTGCTTCTTGGTACCATTGCTAGATGGCGCAACCTGCAGCTCGTGAGTGGAGCGAGGAGCGAGGAGGAGCAAAGAACGAGGAGTCAGGGTCGAGCGGGGAGGTAGGGGAAGCGAGGAGCGATCAGCGAGAAGCGATCAGCCAAGAGCACGGAGCGAGAAGGGAGGAGCGACGGCCAAGGAGAGAGAGAGAGAGAGAGAGAGAGAAAAAAAAAAAAAAAAAAAAAAGATGGTGAGGGAGAGCCGAATAGGGGAAAATAGGCAGACGCCAGTAGCCAGAAGGGAGAAGCGAGGGGCCAGAAGAGAGGTGGAAGGAGCGAGGAGGAGTGAGAAAAGAGGAGCCAGTAGCGAGGAGAGGGAGCGAGGGGCGAGGAGCAAGGAGCGAGAAGAGAAGCATAAGAAGTGGCAAGCACACGCATGTCTCAATGGCCTCGGCGCGCGTTTGGCCGAACATCTGGTCTCCTGGGTCGCCCATGGGGCTCTCTTCCATGGGGCTCTCTTGGGTGGCCGGCGCGGTCCTAGACGTCTCTGGGGTATCTTCCCTTGGAAGCCCTTTGGATGTGGTTTTCGAGCCTCTCGGGCCCTCTTTGGGGCCTCTTGGGGCCTGATCTGGACCTCTCGATGAGGCCGCTCAGAAGCTGTGGGGAGGCCTCTTACGGTCTCTTTTGTCCTTGGGGCCCTCATGGGCCGCCTTGGGCGCTACTTGGACCGTCTTGTGACCGTCTGAAGCTTTCTGGGGCGCCTCTGGGGCCGTCGGTGGCCGTTTTGGGCGGTTCTGCGCCGCTCTTGGAGCCTCTGTGGGATCATTTTGGGTCATCTTGGGCGCCTCTTGGGCCTTCCTGGGACCGTCTTGGGCCGTCCTGGGGCTCTCATGAAGGCATTTGAAGCTGTCTTGGGCAAATATGTGGGGCATCTAGGGCAAGCTAGAACGCTGCGAGGGCAAAAAAAACGAATACTAAAACGTACGTTTCCGTTCGGCATTGGGACGATTGGGGCTGTCTGGTGGCCATTTTGGACCTCTCTTGGAGCGTCTTGTTGGTGGCCTCCTGAGCCGTCGTCTTGCAAACTGAGGCCCCGTCTTGGACCGTCTTGGGGGCGTCTTCGGCCGTCTTTGGGCTCTGTCTGTTGGGTCGTGTGGGGGGCGTGGCCCGAGGCCCGCAGGGCTGTCCGAGCTGCCCCAGAAGCGCTTTTCGGTCTCACGGGGCCTCTCGGAGGCAAAAGAAGCAATTGGCACACAGCACCTTCTGGCGCGCGCGGGCTCCTGCATTGTAGGAGAGACTAGGGCTGACCCGTGGCCTAGCGGCCACGAAAGCTCTCCGAGATCGCACGTTGGACCATGGCAGCGATGTTGCCAAAAAGGCTTGCGTGATGACGTCGGGCCCGAACTTCACCTCTGCCGTTGCTGCCTGCAGCTGCAGGGTGCTGCTGCCTGCGACATGATGTTGCTGCTGCTTATTTTTGTTGTGCTGCCGCTGCCTGCTGCGGACTGCTGGTGTTCGCTGTTGCTGCTTGAGGCTGCAGGGTGCTGCTTCTAGGCACTCTTGCTAGATGACGCAACCTGCGGCTAATGAAGGGAGCAGGGAGCGAGGAGCCGAGGACGAGGAGTCGGGGTCCAGGGGGGAAAATGGGGGAAGCCAGGAGCAATCAGCGAGGAGCGCGGATCGAGACAGGAGGAGCGACGGCCAAGGAGAGAGAGAGAGAGAGAGGGAGGCGAGGAAGGATGATGAGGGAGAGCAGACGAGGAGGGGGGAGCCGACGCCAGTACCAGGAGGAGGAAGCGAGGGGCCAGGAGAGAGGTGAAGGAGCGAGGAGGAGTGAGAAGAGAGGAGCCAGGGGCGACGAGAGGGAGGCGAGAGACCAGGAGAGAGCGGGCAGGAGCGACGAGCGTGGAGCGAGGAGCAAGGAGCGATAAGGGAAGCATGAGAAGAGGCCAGCACACGCATGTCCCAATGGCCTCGGCGCGCGTTTCTGGTCTCCTCTTGGGTCGCCCATGGGCTCTATTGGGTGGCCGGCGCGGTCCCAGAGCTCTCTGAGGGATCTTCCCTCGGAAGCCTCTTCGAGGCGGTTTTGGGGGATGTCTTGGGGCCTCCATGGGCCCTCTTGGGGGCCCGCATCTTTGGGCCTGATTTGGGCCTCTTGGAGGCCTCTTGGAGGCCTCCTGGGGGCCTGCTGGCGGTCGCGGGGTACTCTTGGGGTCTTATGATGCCCTCCTCATGGGGCCCTGTCGGGCCGCCTCGGGCGCCTCTCTTGGGCCGTCTTGGGGGCCCTCTTGGGCCGTCTAAGGAGCACTCTTGGGAGCATGTTGGGCCGATGCTGGCCTCGCGAGGCCCTCTTGGGGGGAGCCTCCTCCTGGGGGGGCCTCTTGGAGCCCTCTTGGGCCGTCTTGGGGCCCTGCTGGGCCGTCTGAAAACCATGTTGGCGACCTCTTGGACCGTCTGGAGGCGTCTCGGGCTGTCTTGGGCCGTCTTGGAGCCCTCTGGGGGCTCTCTGGAAGCTTCTTGGGGAAATGTTGGGCCGTCTCGGGGCGATCGTCGGGGCCTCTTGGGCCGTCTTGAAGCGTCCGAAGCCTGAAAAGGCGAGAACGCCGAAGTAGAAGAAAAACAGAAAAGGAAATCAACGAGTTTGGCTTCTCGAGGCCCTCGTGGGGGAGGCCTCCTGGGGGGGCCTCTTGGAGCCCTCTTGGGCCGTCCTGGGGCCCTGCTGGGCCGTCTGAAGGCCATGTTGGCGACCTCTTGGACCGTCTGGAGGCGTCTCGGGCTGTCTTGGGCCGTCTTGGGGTCCCCTGGGGACTCTGAAGCTTCTTGGGAAAATGTTGGGCCGTCTCGGGGCGATCGTCGGGGCCTCTTGGGCCGTGTGAGCGTCGGAAGCCCGAAAAGGCGAGACCGCAAGGAAATCAACGAGTTTGGCCTCTCGAGGCCCTCTTGGGGGGAGCCTCCTGGGGGATGACTCTTGGAGCCCTCTTGGGCCGTCCTGGGGCCCTGCTGGGCCGTCTGAAGGCCATGTTGGCGACCTCTTGGACCGTCTGGAGACGTCTCGGGCTGTCTTGGGCCGTCTCGGGGGCCCCTGGGGACTCTCTGGAAGCTTCTTGGGAGCATGTCGGGCCGTCTCGGGGCGATCGTCGGGGCCTCTTGGGCCGTCTGAAGGCCGTGCTGGCGAGCTCTTGGACCGTCTGGAGGCGTCTCGGGCTGTCTTGGGCCGTCTCAGGGGCCCTCGGGGGGGCTCTCTGGAGGCCTCTGGGGGCGTCCCGGGGCCGCGCGGGAGCGCGCCGGGGCCAGCCAGGACGAAGGTTGTCCTTTTGGGCCCACGCTCTTCCGGCACGAGCTGCTCCTGGCCAGGTAGGAGAGGTGACGCTGAGCTCCAGCTTCGTGTCCCACATCTCGCTGAGCAGCGCCAAAGCCCGTTGCCACTGCTCGCCCTTCTCGCACGCGCTGATTCCAGCGTTGAAGCTGAAGGTGTCGGGCTCCAGCTTCGCCTCCCACATCTCGCGGAGCAGCGACAGAGCCGACTGCCACTGCTCGCCCTTCCCGCACGCGCCGATCCCAGCACAGTAGCTGACCAGAATGAGCCCGTGGATCAAATCCACTGTGTGCTGAACCTGGAACTCGCACACCGTGAGTGAGCATCTCGCCGAAGGTGAACAGCCTTGGTGTCTCTGGGACCCTGTGGGAGGCATGTTGGGTCCTCTTGTGAGCCTGTCTGGGGCGTCTTCGAGGCCTCTTGCGGTGTTTGGGGCGCCTCTGGGGCCGTGCGCTGACTGTCCCTTAGAGTCTCTTTTGAGGGATAGTTTTGGAAGCTTACTGTCTAATCGCCTTGGGGCCATCCTGGGGCGTCCGTGGGGCTCTGAAGGCTTTGTGGGCACTCTCTTGGGGCCATTTTAGAAGGAACTTTGGGCTCTTTGGGACTGTCTTCGGGCGCTGTGAGGTCATCTGGGTGGCCTGCTGGGCCATCGTAAGCCTCACCTGGGAGTATCTTGGGCAATGTCGACGCGATGTAGGAGGCGCAGGGGGCCATCTGGAGCCGTTCTCGGGGAAAACTGGGGAGAACCTGAAAGTCCTTTGAAAACCTCAAGGAAGTCCCACCAGCCCTCTGGGCGCTTCCCTCTTCCAAAAACCCCTCTTCCCTTCGGGGAGGGGTACCCTCCCCATCTCCTCCCAGAGATGTTTAGGGGGGGGGGGGGGCGCGAGGTGTCACAGGGTCCGTTTTCGCCCAAGATCGCTCCAAGAGGGCCCCCGATGCTCCAGGATAGCCTCCAAGATGCCTCAAGATAGCGCAAGATCGCTCAAGATGACCTCCATCTTGCCTCCAAGAGGCTCCAATAGGGCCACAAGACAATTCGAGGTGCTGTGGGGGACCCCTCAGGACCTCCCCGAGAAGCCAAAATCATTAAAATACCTACGGAAAATGAATGTGTTGTGCCTTCTCGCCTTTTCCCTTCCGATGCGCTTTTGAGGCCCAAAGATGGCCCCAAGACGACCCAAGAAAGCGCCAAGAGGGTCACAAGAGACCCGCAAGACAGCCCCAAGACCGCTCAAGATCGCCCCAAGAGAGGCCCAAGAGCGCCCCAAGAGGTAATTTTTAGGCCTATTCAGGGGGGGTCTCGATAAAGGAACCCACACTTGTTTTGATCGATGGTCTCCAAGATGTCCCGATGTTTGGACTGAATTTTGTTTGGACCGATGTTTGGATCGATTGTTGGACCGATTTGTTTTGATCGTTGATCGATGGTCTCCGAAGCTCCCAGGAGAGCTCCAAGAGAGTCCCAACAGGGCGCCAAGAGGGCTCCAAGATCCCCCCCACACACACAGACCAAAGAGGACCCCAAGACCCTCTAAAAGAGCTTCAACAAGGCTCCAAGATGTTTGAAGATTCTCCCGAGGGGGGGGGGGGGGGAAATCTGAGACCCCACATCATTTGATCCATGCTCTCCAACACTGCCCCAAGACGCTCTCCAGGGCCCGAAAATTCCCAAGAGGGCTTCCAGACGCAAGACCTGACACAAAAACCCAAAGAGGACCACAAGACCTTCGAAACAAGCCCCAAGAGGCCCCAAAGGACCCCGAACGAGCACCAATATCAGCAGCGCCAGCAGCAGCACCAGCAGCAGCAGCGCCAGCAGCAGCAGCAGCACCAGCAACAGCCGCACCACCACTGGCATCAGCGCCAGCACCAGCAGCAGCACCACGACAGACAACAGCACCAACAGCAGTAGCACCACCAGCACCGCCAGCACCAACAGCACCAGCAACACCAACACGAGCAGCTCCAGCACCAGAAAATTCCGCGGAGAGCTTCCAGACGCAAAACCCGACACAAGAGCCCCACGAGGACCACAAGACCTTCGAAACAAGCCCCACGATAGACGGTGTTCTTCCCTAGACTGGCTGCTCTAGAATGGTCTGAAGGGGATTCGCTAAGCGTAAACAATAGCTCGTTTTGGGCTTTGCGGGGCCAGCATCGAGGTCCTCCTGGGCCGTCGTGGGAGGCCTCCTGGCGTGTCTTGGGGCCGTCCTGGACAGTTTGGAAGCTCGCTTCGGAGTCTCTGGTGCCTTCTGGTCGCTGCCTGAAGCGTCTCTGAGCCGTCGTTGGACGTTTCTGAGCGTCTCTGGCCCCGTGATCCGAGTAAGAGTTGCGGCGGCCCGCACTGCCACGCTGGCGAATCTCGTCGGGTTGGATATTTCTCTTTGGATGGTCTCACAGTCAGATTGGGTCTTCTCACTTTCCTGACGGCCCCGGGCCAACCCCGAGTCCCCCGAACCTCATGGGACCCCGTCGCTGGACGTCTTGGAGCGTTCTGGCGGCCGTACAGGGCCGTCTATAGAGGCCTCCTAGATGGGGTCGGAATAGATGGGGTCGGAGGATCGCGCCGCATCGCCCGATGCATCGGCGATGCATCGGCGATGCATCGGCGATGTACTGGCGAGATGCATCGTCGACGCGGGCGACGCATCGGCGACGTCGACGTGAAGCAAATCGGGCTCCACATCGAGAAGCATCGCCGCTGCATCGTCGATGCGGCGCGATCCTCCAATCCCACATATTCGGACCCCATCTGGGAGGCCTAGGAGTCCAGGACCGCCCCAGGAGCGCCCCTGGAGCGCCCCGGGAGCCGCCCCTGGCCAGGCTGCGGCAGCGCCATCTCGCACGCGCGGACCCCGGCATTGCAGTATGGACAACGTCGGGCTCCACCTTCCACGCACACATCTCGCTCAGCAGCGCCAGGGCACGCTGCCACTGCCCGCCCGTCTCACACGCACTGACCCCAGCGCTGTAGCTGACTAGGGCGAACCCGTGGGCTGCGTCCCCTAAGGCTTTTCAGACAAAAACTCGCGGTGTACAGGCGTGGATTCCGCCAGAAGGCTCTCATGATGACGTTGGGCGGCGTACTTTTTGGCGCCGTCTCCGCGCACCTGTAAGACCAAAGTACGTTGGGGACTGCACTTCCAGGAGGCCCCCGGTGCATCTCGCCTCACTCTGGCGGCAGCGGAGAAAGGTGCCCTTGAGCTGCGAGGCACTGGCAATAGGGGAGTCGGCACCAATGCTGCGGTCTATTTTCCAGCACCCTCTGGCGGCCCCGGACGTCTCCACTGGGCGCTTCGGGCCCAGACCCCCGACGTCATGATTTTTTCATGACGCGACCCCCACAAGTCCGGACCCATTCCCCGGGACCGGCTTTTCATCCCGAGTCGTTCGTTGACGGTCCCGAGGCCCGGTAAGGGCCTCCAGAGGCCGAAAATAGCGAAAAACCTCGCGTCGTGATTTTTTCATGACTCGAGGGGGTCTGGGGGGTGTGCTTGCTCTGGGGGGCGTTCTCCGGTGTTTGCAGCCTCTGGGGCCCTGCCTCCAGGCCACCACGAGCAGTCCCAGGAGGCCCACGGGAGAGGCCCCTGCCGCCCCGGGGGGCGCTTGGGAAGGTCGCACGGTCGACCGCCGACTGTGCACGGAAGCCGCACAGGGAGCCGGAGGGCCAGAGAATGGGCGCGCGGTGAGCTGCGTGCTTTTCGGCGCAATCTCCACGCGCCTCTGGGACCAAAGCATGTTGGGGACTGCAATCTCTGGAGGCCTCTGGCACATCTCGCCTCACTCGGGACTCGGGCAGCAGAGGCGAAGGGTGCACTGGAGCTGCGAGGCAATAGCAAGCAGATTAAACACACACGCACACACACACACACACATGTTGGGCCTGGAATGGCGGTGCAAAACCTGAAGGAAAAGCTAACTCCTCGCCACCTCGGGCCGTCGTGTGACCTCGTGGGCTGTCTTGAGGCCTCATGGCCTGTGATCTGGCCCTCTGGGAGTCACTTCTGCGCGTCCGGAAGCCATCTTGGGGACGTCTTGGGGCCGTCTTGGGGACGTCTTAGGGCCATCTTGGGGATCTGAAGGGGGCCAGGGACACACTAAGAAATACATACAAATCCCAGGACTCACCATATCTTCTCACATGTTCTTGATCTCCCACCCACTTCCCATGTTTCCCCTGTTTCCCAGGGAATCGACGATAATGTGTGTGTCTGTGTGTTTTCTCCCTCCTGAGGACCTCTGGAGGCGTCTTGGGGCGTGCAAGGGAGCTGCTGAGAGGAGGGCGGGGCCCGCCGAGTCGAGGCCCGCCGGAGGGTCCCGCCCAACTTCCCCCCGGAGCCCGCCGGGGGGCGGCGTGGTGTCCACCTGGGGCGCCCTCCTGCTGGCACGCGGCCGAGGAGGAGGAGGAGAGGGAGGAGGAGGAGGAGGAGGAGGAGGAGGAGGAGGAGGAAAAGGAGGAGGAGGAGAAGGAGGAGGAGGAGGAGGGGGGGGGGAGGAGGAGGAGGAGGAGGAGGAGGAGGGAGGAGGAGGAGGAGGAGGAGGAGGAGGAGGAGGAGGGGGAGGAGGAGGAGGAGGAGGAGGAGGAGGAGGAGGAGAGGAGGAGGGAGGGAGGAGGAGGAGGAGGAGGAGGAGGGCACAGAAGACGTTGGGCACCACCTTCGCCGCCTGCATCTCGCGGAGCAGCCACAGGGCCTGCTGCCAGTTCGCGCCCTTCTCGCACAGGCTGATCCCGACGCTGCAGCTGATGACGTTGGGCTCCACCTGCGCCTCCCACATCTCGCGCAGCAGCACCAGAGCCCGCTGCCACTGCCTGCCTTTGCCGCATGCGCCGATGGCTGCAAGGTGATCGCCTGGACTGGCTGCCGAGCGCAGTCGAGACGCTTCCCCGAAGAGCTGCAGTGCGGCGCTCCACCGCGCTGCTGCCCCACAACTCTTTATCTCCGCCTCGAGGGAAAAGACACCTTCCCGTGATCCTCGCCAGGCGTGGACCATGGCAGGACATGCCTGCCCACGGTAGCGAATCCATCGCAGGATGGCCGCAGCCAAGATGGCTACGGCCACCGTGTGGAGGTCCTCCTGGGGGCGGGCACGTCCCGAGGCGGTCGCCGCCACGGCCGGGCGCGGCCCGGCACACTGGCCAGGTCGTCGTCCGCGCAGCTGCACGCATCCGCCGTTCCCCTCCCCCTTCTCCGCCTGCGAATCTGCCGCCTGCCTGCCGCACAGCCGTCGGCGTGGCTGCCGCCGCCGTCGGCGCAACCGCCGCCGCTGCCGTGCCCGTCGGCCGACGGAAGCAGGGCTGCTGCCTGCCAGCGAGCCTGCACCGCTTCGTCGCGCGCGCGTGCGCGTGTGTGCGGAGACACGGCTTCCCGCGCCTGCACCAGGCCCGAACCAGCGTTCTGCCTCCCTCATCCCAGCATCATCGGCATGATCATGAGCATCAGCATCCTTCTCCTCCCATTATCCTCCTCTCCTGCCCTTTGCCTCCTCCTCCTCCTCCTCCTCCTCCTCCTCCTCCTCCTCCTCCTCCTGCTCCTCCTTGACCCAGGTCGTCCCCGCCCCACTCCCGCTGGACGCTTCCGATGCGGACGGAACGCGACGTATGGTGGATGACGCCTAATGCGGTCTTCGTCCCTCCTGCACATCCCCCCCCTTCTGCTTCCTCCTCCGCATCCGCCTCATCCTGCTCTTCCTACCCATTTCCAGATGGTCATCATCATGTTCCCCCTCCTCGCCTCTTTCTGCGCGGGTACACCAAAGCAACCGTGGCTGGCCAGGGCTATCCTGGACCCTGATATGGTGTACACGCTGTCCTGGCCTGGACCAGGCGGGTCCATCCATCGTCCTGGGGCCTGGGATCTCCAGGATCCGATGTCGTCGCACAAAAACTTGCAACATCGTGAGAAACTCACAACGGGAGCCCTCGACTCCACCTTTTACTTCGGCGATTCTCGAGAGCTGGATCGACCCGTGCCGCCTCTGGGACCCGAGCCTGGGCAAGAGCGCCCGGCGTGAAAACATTGCGACGCCCAGATCTCAGGCATGGCAGTGGCCAGCCATGGTTAGGAAGCAGCTCACAGAAGCTGTTGGTCGTCACCATGGCGCCCAATAGCGCGGCCAATCGCGCACAAAACGGCCACAGCGCATCTCCCTGACACGGCGCTCCTGGGCGCTATTGGTCGCTACTGGGCGCTGTTTGATCGCTGCTCGGCGCATCTGGGCACTATTTGGCGCTATAGGGCGCTTTTCGCAGACATACAGTCAGTCCAAGACGAGCGGAAGCTTCCAGGACTCACTATCTAAGGCATGGTGGTGTGCAAGCACCCTCGGCGGAGGGCTGGCTCAGCTTGGAGGCGGTCAAGGGGTCTGAGCTGGAGGGGCCCCGAGAGAGTCTGTCAAGACGGGGGGATGAAAGCAAATCCGCTTGAAATCGGTCCCTGGACTTCTGAGCACGACGAAACAAGCAGAAACCCCTCCAACAAAGCATCGATGACCGCCCAGGGGGGGGCCTTGCCAGGGCCGGGAAGCTCTTGAAATCTACATCGGGCGCGCAACAACAACAACAACAACAACAACAACAACAACAACAACAACAACAACAACAACAACAACAACAACAACAACCACAACAACCACAACCACAACCACAACCACAACAACAACAACAACCAAAGCAACAACAACAAAAAGCAACAACTACAACAACAACTACATCAACGACAGCAATAACATTAACATCAACAACAATAACAGCAGCAACAACAACAACAACCACAACCACAACCACAACCACAGCAGCGGCAGCAGCAACAACAATAACAACAACAACAACAACAACAACAGCGACGACAACGACAACCACAACAACAACATCATCATCATCATCAGCATCATCAGCATCATCAGCATCATCATCATCAACAACAACAACAACAACAACAACAACAACAACAACAACAATTACTAGCACGTGGGGACACTCCGTTCTCACCAGTGCCAGGGTTTTCATACGACGCCCGCCAATACCCCCACTTTGTGGGGGGGCCGGTTCAAGCTCTACCACATTTCCAAACGACTCTTCGCCACCACCCACACCCAGCTTCCCGCCCTATGACGTTCGGACACTTCACTTCGTGGCCTGCGGACGACCGTGGCTACTACACTGGCGCTGGCAGGTAGCGCGCGGGTAGAAATTTTGAACATTCGTACAGCGCGCGCGGGTAGAAATTTTGAAAATTCGTACAGATGTTTTTCGAAGACCTACGGTGCGATTCGTATGATTTTATGTTGCGCGGTGCTAAAATTCCTTAGAAACCCAATGGTTTTTGAAGATTTCGGCGTGCGCGCGCGAAGAAAAAACGAATGTGTCCCGCATGGTATTATTTGACAGGGATGATGGCCCTGGCAGGTGCGCAACCGTTGTTGGAGAAGTTCGAAGCACGTGAAAAAGTTGCTCGCAAAAGCCCGTTTGACAGAAATGTTTAAAAAGTGTTGGGTTTCCTACAAATCCGCAAGAGCGCGCGGGATGAAATTTTGACACTTTTTTTTTGAAAAACCATTGGTTTTTTGATGTTTTTATGTTAAAATCGCTACGAACACTAAGGTTTTGGAAGGATTTCGTCTTGCGCGCGCGAATGTCCACTTTACCTTATTTTTTGCAAGGGATTCTTGAAGTTTGGTTATGTTAGAACAAGAAATGTCCACTTTGCCTTATTTTTTGCAAGGGAAAACCGCCCGTAACAAAACAACCGGATCCGGACCAACCCGTTTTGCCGGAGACTTCCTCACGAAAATGATGAAAACATGGCTGCGGCCTAGGCGCGGCGAGGGGGCCGCGCACCAGGGGTCCCAACAATAATTATTCTTTAGAAGTAATCATGTTCAACAATAACAACAACAACAACAACAACAACAACAACAACAACAACAACAACAACAACAACAACAACAACAACAACAACAACAACAACAACAACGACGA